TTTGTTAATATGTTAACTTATGTACAATTCATGATTATATAAAGCAGAGGCAGGTGAGTGACTATCGTAAAACATTTGAATAAATTTATTACGTATTTCTTCGTGTACACGTCTAAAACTGAGTGACTTAGCTGAATTAATGACATGATTATGTTTAAAACAAATATTAACCTCCGAAGGATAGCTAGTATTTAAACGCCAACGTTCTAATCGCAAACACAAGGTTGCTGAACAACCTGTATTTCTATTACGTACTGATTCTGAATTCTTTCTTTTAGGGTCACCTTGTTTTTTTTCTAACAATCTGACTATGAATACAATGCCTCGATTCTCGAAAAATAACTTATTGGCCCTTAACTCTATATTCCTTAGTTTGTGGCATTGTTGTTTTCGAGTATTCTTCAAAAGCGGCAAACCATTTTTTTATGCCTTCCACAGTTGAAATATTAACGAATATATTAGCTTCAAATTGTTGTACTTCAAAGCCTTCATGGGTATAAAGTAGCAGCAATTTTATCATATGTCAGATCATATAGCTATAATTTATGGGAAAAACTGCTTGTAAAAAATCTGGCAATAAATCCCAAGAAAAAATCTAAAAACAAATATTTTTATAATATTACTATATTGTGAAAAAAAAGCTTTTGTTGTCTCTTTAAATTTGATTTATCTCAAAGATTTTCATTATCTATACGATTAACAAGATTTGTAGTGTCTTGGATTGTTTCGTAAGAATTAATATACGATTCAGTACAGCCGATCTTTATTATAAGAATACAAATTTACAACAGTTAAATAATCATTAGTGAACAAAAAGCAATCATATCTTTAACTTACTTTAGTGCCTTTATCTATTCCAATGCCTTTATTCGCTCAATATCTTTATCTGCTCCAATGCCTTTATCCACTCCAATGCCTTTATCTGCTCTAATGCCTTTATCCGCTTCAATGTCTTTATCCACTCCAATGCCTTTATCAATAACTAGGGTATTCATTTGTATTACATCATTCATCTTGTATGACTTGTGAGTGTATTCCACGTATAGGTTGTAAATGAATTGTCCATATGATTTGTGAAAGAATTTTCTATATTATACGTGAAAGAATTTTCTACATGATTTGTAAAAGAATTTTCCATATTATATGTGAAAGAATTTTCCATATTAGTTGTGAAAGAATTTTCCATATGATTTGTGAAAGAATTTTTCATATTAGTTGTGAAAGAATTTTTTATATAATTTGCGAAATTTGTGTGATTTGTGAAAGTATCCTCCCCTCCATAATATGCAAATATATCCTTATTCTCCTCCAAATAATTGGTAAATGAAAAGGTCATGTTTTGTGAATACGAAGGTTTATTTCTGCTATTTTTAAATATAAAGTAATATGAATTGTACATAAGTTAACATATTAACAAAAAATTCCAGATCCATTAATTACTTACGTAAATTGGGGGGGTTTTTTTTTTTTAAATTTTTTTTTTTTTTACTTATTTTTGATAGCCTGATGTCTTTTAATAGTCGCAAGTTATATCCCACATTTTAATGGTACTACGTTCTATATATTTAAAACACTCAAAGGATTGTATTTATTGTTTTATGCACCTGCTTTTTATTATTACGCTACACTTCATCTTCTAACACTAAAACTCTCCTTCTTCACTGCACTTCCTAATCACATACATACGACGATATTTCTTTGTGCTTGTCTTATTTAGGGTAACGAAGCAAAGGTTCGATTTTCAAGATCGAACTCCATTTTATTTATTTTTTTAGTATATATATGTATAATTACATCACCGATTGTCAATCATATAGACTTAAATTTAACTCTAAATTACTAAGAATAGACTGTCATTATTATGATTTGAGTCGCTATATTACGATTTGAGTCACTAAATATTACGATTTGATTCACTGCATATTAAGATTTGAATCATATTTTGATATTACGATTTGAATCGAACAAGTATTTGTATTTGTGTAACTGATTATACCCGCTTTGCATGATTTCATGTAACCGCTTTGCAGAATTATATCATTATTATACTGTTACACAGTACTGATCGATATAACCTGGCACAGAATGGATAGGTGCATAATAAATTTACACCATATAATGTCCCACTTGAAGGAGTTAAAAAAAATTCCATACATGATATTATTAATATCAGTTTTATTAAATTGCGCTAGCAATGTTTAACACCACAGATACTATATCTCAAAAATTAGCAAAATAACTAATACCAGATATAATATTCACCTTACCCTAACAAAAATTTTTAAATCCTGTACCTTTATTATAGTTTAGGTCAATAACCTTAAATTTTACTAGCAAAATAATTAAAAATATATACACTGTTGAACATCACTAGTACAATTTAGTAAAATTGGTTAAAATTATTTTAATTTAAATTTAAATATTTTTAAGGCTGGAACAAAGTTATAGCTCAAACAATTCAAAACTGCTGGTGCTATACACATATTCTTCTTGTTAATGAATTACTCCTTAAAGAATTATTGTTTAATGAACCATTAACTGAAACACCATTAGTTGAAGAGCTTTCCAAAAATCTTAGTGATCTTAATTTTTTTGATACGATGTACATAGAAGAGTATTTAGCTATCCCTAATAAAAATATCATGTATAAAGTCTCTGATGAGAATCAAATTATTATAAATCTTGTTGAAATATTTAAAGAACTGATAGTGAGAATGACAAAAATCAAGAAATCACAGATAATAGTATTGAAAAAAAAATTGTAAGCCCAAATGAAGCTCTAAAAAGTTTGGAGAATATCAATACTTACTTACTTTAGCAAGAGGATGCAAGTGAATGCATCAAGCTGGTCAATACTATTGAAAATTTATTAAGATAAAAAAAAAGATCTAATAAAACAATTGACTATAGATCAATATTTTAATCAAGTTGAAAGAGAAAGGTTGCTGACAAATAATTATGAAGACTTTTATGATGATGATCTTGATTTGCGTAAATAAAACTATAATAATAAGTTTTATTTACCTAACATGTTTTATGGATTACTAAATGATTTTTATGTAACTTATTCGATTACTTCTAATCTAAATATGTGGACTTTACACATGCCCTTACTAGATGTACATAATTTGTATATTTATATTAAGAGCAGTTGAATAAGTTGTATAGAAATCATTAATTGTTTATATAAAACATATCAGATAACTATTACAAATCTATTACATTATTATTAATCACAAATATGCATTAAATTATTTAGCAGACTATAAAACTTATTAGAAAGCATTGCTTTGTGAGTTAAAGTAGAGATATAGTACAAAACAGCATAGCTTATATATTATAATAAAACTTGATTAATCAATTAAGCCAATGAGTCAATTTTGTATCATTATATTAAAAAGTAAAATTGTTTTGATGATTTATCTAACAATTAAAACATTCAATAGGAATAAACAAAGGCAGAATATAAAAAATTAAATTTGCTAATCATTAGGGACGTGACAAAAATCAGATAATTTTTTAGAGGGGAAGGGTAAAAAAGTTAAAATTATATATAAGAACCTGATTTTTTTTTTATATTAAGAGGGGGGAGGGGGTAAGCCTCTGATAAAAAATAATCAGGTAATAAATGATACTGCCCTTATCATTGTGTGTATATCAAGTATGTATATACTACGTATGTACATATGTATATACATATAATATAAATGCACAAGTAGCCAGAAGTACAAACATGTGATTAAATATAGTACATACTGTTCTTATACTTTAAATAATGCTACATACTATGTAGTAAAATTTTATGAATTTAGTTATATATATATATATAAAAAGTATATAGTTTATATAAAAGTATTTCAAAAATCTTTGGTATATATGACAATTATTTAATAACTTTATATTTGCAAACTAATTTAACAAATATATAGATTTTTATTCTCGAATTCAATTTTTTCATATTATTTTAGTAGCTGTCAATTATATTTTAATAATTTGACTTCTTTAAATACATTATCTAATTTTGATTTTAAAAAAGTGCATTTATAGAGATAAAGTCTCTAAATGCATACTCTTTATAAATACTGTACATCATCTAGCTCTGGTCCTGAGGAGATGCATTTAGAGAGGTTTCTCTGTATCTTGAATTCTATAATATTTAATTTTAAAGTTTTAATCATATAATCATTTATTCTAATATCTTCTTTACTTAACCAGACTCTAACTATGAATAGTTTTTTTTTTTTTTGGTTTTAAAATGACCTTTTAGTCATGCTATGCTTTTATTGTTTTCAGACATCATTATATATATTTGGAGAATATATTTAGTCATATCTGTGCTTTTTGAGCATCTATTTAAGTAGTCTGTCTATTACTAGGTTTTACACTATTTGCTGTATCTGCAACCCAACTAGAGGTTACCTATTTAAACCCTCTGCATCTATATACTCTGAGGCCTATGACAACTAGTACCCTTCTTCCAGTTCTAAGAACTAGTCTCACAGGTATATCATTTTATATACTGACTTAGAACTATTTTATTATCAAGATAAACCTGGCAAAGCTCACAATATTTTTATTTTATATCATATTTAGTCTATGCTTCAGTTTGGTACGCATCGACCATGGTCCACCACTTGCGGTTTAGTTCTTCCTATTCTAAGAGTGTATATGGTGCTAGATCAAGGTCATTGCCTATGGTTTTTCCCTCAGTTTAAACTTTCTCCTGCTTTTTTTCTATGATTTAACCTAGTTTTCAGTTGAACTCTGCTACCCAAACCTACTTCTGCCCTTGTAAAGTTTACTCAAACCCCAGAACTTATTTCACAATATATCCCTAGTACTTTAATAATCTGGTTCACTTTACTCAGGCTTCCAATCCAGATAGTCTGATATGTATCACTTATTTTTCTCTAATTCAACAGCAATTTAGATAGTGTTGGCAATTTCTATTCGTCCAATAGCAGGGGCCTAACCCTGGTTCTCAGATTTTCAATTTAGATAGCCTGGTAACTATGTACTTTTTCTCTGCTTTAGGCAGGTACCTCGAACCTCGGTGGATCTTTCATCTTGCCCTCTGCTACATGTATTGCAGCTTTTTCACCTCAGTTTCTAGGTTCTCTTTTCTATTGTAGTAGCCTGATTGGTATAAATACAACTCTAATACCCTGTATTTTGCCTAGTTCAGTTCACATGGGTTCTGTTTCTTGGGTCTAATCTTTACAGTAGCTTTGTCAAAGATCTGTGCTACCTTTCTATTCAGGACTTGCCAAGTGGGCTTCTGTATTTGTAGTTCTCCAAATTCACATAGCCTAGAAGCTTATCTTGTGTTTGTACTACCCTATTATTAGTTTGTATTTCTTTATATAACATTATATCATATGAATACCCCAGATCTTCCAGTCTTGCTGGTATGACCATAGTTATAGATATTCTATTTCAACTGATTGATTAAATATAGTTAGCCATAACATAAGCAGAATTTTTGAATTTTCATTACTAGTGAGATTTAAACTCTTGACCTATTGCTTGAGAGGTGACAACTTGACCACTTCACTATGTCGCCACACCTCTACTATGAATAGTTCTTCTTTTTATAGTTTTTTACTTTGAATATACTTCTCTATATTTTAGATAGTATTTAAAATTAGTATTCTCAGAGTTCTCATAAGAACACTATTATAAATTTGTATACAATCTAAACTTTTTACTGTTTACTATTAAAAATTTTTTGAAAACAGTAAAATAATAATTATATTCTCATAAATATATAGTAAATAGCTACATATAGTGTTCCTATGAACTGAACTGAACTGAACTTTTGGCTAAGTTCAAGTTCAGTTCAAAATTAAACTGAACTTAAACTTGAACTTTTTTTAAAAAAAGTTCAGTTCAGGTTCAATATTGAACTTTTAAGTCAAGTTTAGGTTCAGTTCAGGTTCAGTTCAAAAGTTCATAAACATGTTCAAGTTCAAT